GTTGACCAGGCGAAACATCTTCGTCAGAAAATGATCATAAGTAACGTTTCACATATGAAGGGCTCTTTCTCCTCAGCCACCCCTTCATAGATTGCGACATCACGACATTGAGAGTTTTATTGCTGTTCTTTTTGAAAAGAGAGTAAAAGAGGAAAGAAAGAGTTATGAGGTTATGTTAAATTTTTAAATGTAAGCAAGTAATTCTCAAAGCGTTGGCTTGAGCGACTTTTGCCAAAATCAAATTCTGCATTCAAGCTATAGGGAGGACATTAGTAATCTAGTGCTGGGACATAGTACTTTTTCCTCTTCCCTTCTTCTTTCGTTCACTTCTCTTTCTTCCTTTCTTTTCTTTTTATTTCTTCCACACGAATGATTTCACCTTCTTACTGTACTCAAACACGGAACAGTTTGGTGTCATATATTAATGAACCAGTTTGAGCCGTCGGAACCTCTCTTCAACTGCGAATACCAAAGCCTTTCACTGTGTTAACTTTCACTTTTGAGTTTGGCGGAATCCCAAGTTTTCCCCAAGAATCCCAAGTCTGACGGATCTTTCTAGCGTCCCCCTCCCTCACTTTTTCCAATCATATCACTACAGAGCCAAGGTAATCCAAATCAAATCTTCCAAAAAGAATATGAAGAGTTCAGCATCAGAACAGTTATTGTGCATACATGACGCCCCTACCGAATTCACAAACTGACATACCTAAATTGCACCCCTTCTTCTACACAGTGTTTCACTCCTTTACTTATGGCGCAGTTTGTTTTTTATTGCATGCGTTTAAACTCTAAACGCCAATTTGTTACTAGCAAAATGGTGGAATGGCTTTTTCCCTCACATGTGAACTTCGTAAATAAATAAAAACATGATCAGTCAGTTTATGTCAACGAAAAAAAGATACCCAATAAGGGAACTGATTCAGACGTGGGTGGAGTCATTTCACTGACAATCGTTACGAAGAAGCATATCGACAGAAGTATAGTAGTCTCTGAAAAATCATGGTATCATTTCAACCGTTAGGATTGTCAGAATACATATTACTCACGATATCCAATTTTTTCGCTCATGTCATGAGCTGGAAGGCAAAATCCAACTAGTGTCATTAGAGAAATAAGAAGTGACGGGAACACAATGTTGAATAGATAGAAGATCGATCGTCGTCTGAAAAGTATGTAACTAACACATTTCAGTTGTCATATCAGTTTCATTAAAAAAATTCCCATCTATTTACATGTATTTTGTCCCATCTGTAAGTATTCGCTTCGATTATCGAAGAAAAAAGCTTATACATACCAGGCCCGTTCAAATCGGAAACCTTGTTACTCTTAACCTTTCGCAAAACGGCCCAATCCTTGAACGCTCGGTGTAGGCCGACCCCTCTCTGTGCATGACAGAAATGAGGGTTAGTGAGACCCTGACTTCGAGCAACATAGCTATTACCGACGAACTCTAGGTCAAAAAATTGACATGTAATTTGTGATATGCGACGGCTGCGATCGTTGTGGAAGATCATAGAACCTTATCGAAATCTTACATATTCCACTAAATTTTCGTTCAAAGATGATTTTTTCAAAACATGGATATTTCCGAAAGTCGTTCGTGGGAGTGTGGGTCAGGTCATAAAGATTACGGCGGGACGTACATATCTCGGGTGGTGTTCGCATCACAGGCCGCACCATGCATGTGTTTCCGCGCACGCGGAATAGGTATGTCTTCACCCACATCATCACCCACCCACATGTCTTCCCCATCAAGACGGTGACCTAGCCACAGTGAACGAACCCAAGATGCAAAACATCCGTGAAGACGCTGTCAAAGTGAAAATTTCTTATGCTGACACTTACTATGTATGTAACCATGACCAAAAAGATTTGTCATTCTGAGGGAACTTTTGTTCCACTGATGAAAGTTCCAGGTTGAACCTCTACCATTCTCGAATTACCACCTTAAAGGAATCCTGCCCGGAAAATTCTTGCATTCTTTCCCAACATGAATATGTCAGTTGTGATCACTAGAAACAACACACAAAGTTTCACGCATGAAGATTCGGTTTCCGAAGAGAAACAAACTACGAAAACCACACTCTATGGACGGTCGAAGGTAGGTCGCGCGGAGCCAAAGGCGAGGCATGGAAAGAAGTGCGCGGGCGGCCACGTATCAGGCGACGCATTAAAAAAATTCGGGTCAAAGCATTCGTTTTTGGAAAATAGAGACAAAACAGTGATGATGCAGTATATGTGTGAGATGTCAGCGCGGTGAAAATGTAGTTCGGGGGGGCACCCTATCTAATCGAGGTGGAGTTGCGGAAAGACACATATCTAATCAAAGTAGAGTTGCGGGAAGGCACTTATATCTTATCATATCTTTCACTGAGACCGTGGCCTACGACTAGTACGCTTACCCTTGTCATATTATTCTATGGCTAAAATGGCTGCTACCTTGCTGGCTCTTCACTTTCCCTTCTTGCGACTGCCATGCGAGCCCTCGAAGAGAGGGCCTTTCAGGTATCCGATTTTGTATGGAATCTCGGGTTGGTATCCCTATCTAATCATACATTCAGAGACTGTGTCTGGATGGTGATTAGATATGACCGTCCTTAGCTCCACTTCGATTAGATATTATGAGTGGCCCGCTCCAACTACATTTTCACCGTCAGCGCAATACGTTGGAAGGTCAAAAAGAGTTCCTAGTGATAGCACTCCGAGAACCAAGTGGAAGCGTTCCCGTCGCCAGCATTTGTGACAGATCCGGCGGAAATTTGAACGCGTAGCAGTCCTTTCCGGTTTTTCGAATTGTTTACCAAAACAAATGCAAATTTTTGTTCTTTTCGTTCTTATTGAAAATGGTGGCTATCAAGCCGCTGAACCAAGGCTAAGTAGTGGTAGAACCGTTATTCTTTCATGAAGTATTTTTTGACATTTAACTTATTTAACATATAATATCACCTCAGAAGCATATAGAACGTTACGGTTGAGTACGGCTCTGGACAGCATTGTGAATAGAAAACCTCCCGAACTGCTGGCACTTCTAAAAATCAGAATTATGTAGAATAGAGAGAACAGTGACAGGGAAAAGGTGTTGGTCGTACTGATGAGATTCCATTCTCCACTTGGCGTATACGTAGACAAATCCATGGCTGGCTCTGGAAAAAAAAGGTTATGGAAACTGACGTGCAAGGAAAAAACTGCGTCATCTAAAAGTTTGTTCACAGCTTTCACCTCCATCAGCTGACATCCTGCTAGTTAGTGTATCACTACGCGATAGTATCCCATACTTGCCTTCCAAGATTTGTCTCGGTAGCAATTACTTTTGACCTTGTTTGGTTTGTTAACTGCTATTTTAACGCCGCAGTTTGCGTTTGCGAATATTTCACAAAAGTACTGGGTTATGAACAAAACTTTCGCCTCAGGCGGGACTCAAGCCCGCACATCTCGCTTACCGCGCAAACCCGCTGAGTATCAGGTAATACTTAGCGTTACGCCTTAGACGTACGATTGATGATGAAGCACACTTCACCTATTATCAACCACAATTTTGGATAAGCCGGGGAGATTGTCGGTGTATTCTGTGTATATGTTCTTTCTGTCCGCCTCCCCTCAGTCCGGACCCAACCGAAACCACCGGGAGCTGCGACCAGCTAATCACTTCGTGATCTATGTCGTGATTACGACTACACCCCACCATCGCTATATAACTCCGAGCACACCAGCTTCATTCCTATCTTATGGAGCACTGGCGTAGCGCAGCGCGAGGCACGAGAGGACGAGAGAACAGGAACACAATGGCTCTTGTAGCTGGTTCAATCAGTGTCGAGGTTTTTATTTCAAAGTAATGTCACGGATTCGATAAGACCACAAGGCTAAAATATCTTCAGTTGCAAGCCGTTCTTTTTGGGCCTGATAGCAAATGTTCACGGATTATTTTTAGAGACTCGAATTAGATCATATACTGTGTACTTTGTGCGGTCTGAGATCGTTACTGCCGGAAGGTGAATTGTCAAATCCTGTGGAAGGGAGACGCTCTCATAGCCATGCCGATCCCCCCAGAAGAGGAGAGCACGGTCCCACACGCTGGCGCTCCGAAAGAGGAGGGGGGGTAAATATAGAAACATGAAAAACTGAGTTACAGCTAATCGCTGCCCCGGAACTAGCAAAGATTTGCTCAGCGAGGGTGCGGGTTTGAGTCGTCTGGGGCGAAATTTCTGTTCATAACCCTGTCTTCTTATGTCAGTAGCTTTGTGCCCTCCAGCTGTGAAGCTTACAGAAGCTTAGCTAGTCTATGAAAATTTATGGATACTTATACGCTGACGAATTTGTAACGTCATGGTGAACATATTGACCATCTCAAACATGCGAACATTTACTAAAACTTGGAGAGACTGACTAAATTGATTGAGCAGCCCTCAGAAGCGAAAACTGCGCCAGGCGCACGCCTTTCTTTAGCACATTCCTTTGACGAGCTATGTGTGGCTACTGCGCTCGGAATTAAAGCAGGGGTGAGGGTTGAAAATGGAAATGGAATTACCAAAAACACTCACAAGAGACCCCTCTGATGGTCTTAGAGAGACTGATTGTTGAGGTGGATTAACAGGCTCGGAAACGAGAGTACAGGAGGTGAGCGAGACGCAGCCAGCCAGCACATTCAAAACGGTGGGGTTGTACGGATGCATGTCACAAGCTTTCTGCCCCTTTCACATGTTTTCGAATTTCAAGGTGGAATAGCTTGTAAGATTGACCTCCCGACAATTACTTCACTTCTGTAGCTAACGATAAGCACGGTAAGTACTACCTCTAACTGGCTTCAACAGAGCCTTTGCTACTTTCCTGCAAATCATAGGAATGTAAGGAAAGCTTGCAAATATTCAGCCTTGTCAAGAAACATTGTTGTATATTGTACCTTATCCACTAACAGCAAGGCCCAAGCGTTTCTAACTACATCGTAAGGTTCAGAGTTGATGAGTGAGGTGGTTCGGCGATTAGGCGATTATGTGAGAACAAAGAGATGCCTATCGATCAGGCAAAAATGGCGGAGGGAAACACACCCCAGAGGACTCAGAAGCAGAGCCAACCGTCCCTCAGTACAAGTATCAACGGGGCCTCGTATTCACGACTTTGGGAGGGGAGGGGGTGGTGGTTGAGAAAGCTGAAGGGACCAAGCCATACCAATGGGATCCTGAGGCATGCCTTTATGGTTAGGAAAAAGGGGTCATTTATCACGAAGGTTTGACGATTTCGGCGAAGACTGCGAAAGATGGATCAAATAGATTATGATGGAGGAATTACCGCCCTCACTCCTTTTGCTTAAGAGCGAAAAAACTCGCGGATTCGGAGTTTGTTAACTGGTCACAATCAAATGCATAGAGCAACCATGATAGTGATGTTAGTCGGGGATGGGGTCGCGTAGAGGACCCCAAAAGGCTGATGGTGGTGCGTGTCGAGCGGTTGCAGTTGCAATCCTAGTCGCTTGATTACATAATCACCTATTCGCCTACTCAGTACGTATCCTATCCTTCCCGTGTTCGCCTGAATGTCAAATCCGAAGAATATAATACTTTTTAGTTGATGTACATAGCAAATGGACTTTCTCACCTTCACCATTTTCTGTGCTTATTTGAAGATCCAAAGCGTTGCCGTTATATGTCCAAGAACCAAACTGCAAGAGATACATTATTCTGATGACGCGGTTTCAACTTTTCACATTTTCTGGATCAGCGACGGAGGGGTACCGTCGTGTGTCACGTAAGCGAATTCTGAGTTTCGAGTCGAAACTCTAAACTTTGATGGTCTTTTTATCAGTGCTAATCCATGCCAAAAAAACAAATTGGATGTGCATTCATGCAGCCTTAGTCGACCATTATATTTCGATTTGGCTTTCCAATTAGCCTGCTTGTAAGCGAGTTATGGATAGATTTAGCAAGTGGTCTGGGTGGAGGCCATTGTCTTAAAGGCACAACCCAGGCAGAGGTCGTGTGAACGCTTCTCTTCGGTCAGAAGTATAGAACCCTAGGGGACAATCACAAATGTGGCGTTCACGTGCACGGAAACCGACCGACAAGAGCGCTTGGGCCTTGCAAAGTAAGCTGCTCGAGCTGCAGCGAACGAGCTCTCTTATCAGGCCGTTGTCTGGTGCTCTCTCATCTGATGCGCTCTCTCGCCCCATACTCTCCTCTTCGCGCTTAGTCTCTCGTTCCTTTAGCACAGCCAATTAGGAAGGTGAGTGAGCCCTCAACCTGAGCGTTTTCGACGGATTCTTTTCCTTTTTTCTTCACTGCCGGCCCACTTGGCACCGATACATTCACATTCGTGTGCAAGAGCCACACCAGTGCGATCCTGGGGCATGCCTTTAAGAGAATCTGTAGCAGTTGGCCGACGAGCAGTAGTGAAGTGAGCGGATGCAACCGCTAATCCTTTCGAACCAATCGCATCATTTTGTGAGCAGGGATTGTAGTCATTTTATTGGGCCTGATGGCCCCTGGTCGTCGGAAGGAGAGAGTACCCTATTTTTCTTCGTTCTTCCACAGGGAAGTCCGGGATAAATTGCTTGAAGGCATACTACGCATTTGTAGAACTGGGATAATGAAATTCAACTGTAAAGCAATAGCTTCCACTCAACTCGCCAGAGAAGTAGACTAATAGAATTCACTGGAGAAGTCGTGAATAGGGCTCTTTTTTCTTCGGGCAGCAGAAAAGAAGGGAAGACAGACACCCCACGAGTCACTACGCAAGACGGCGACCGATGTAGGCGAGGGAGCAGAGCGGGTAACGCGGCAACAGGCACCGCATTGGTGGGCTAATCATGCTTTAGCTCGCCCTTTCCACGTCTCCGATCTTAAACGTGGTTCTGTCTCTGCGAGTCAGGTCTCAACAGCCTCATAAGCGAAGGGAATTGGTCCAATAATCTGATTGAGGGTGTGCTTTCAGATAATCTGATAGGTCACATTTATCTGTTTTCCTAGCGCTAACACCAATTTCAGTCCTCAGAAGTTAGGTTATCCATTGAAAAATGTCTGTCTCTCTGTTTCGTTGCTATCACATGCTTTGAAACGCATACATGAAATACCTTCAAGTGGCAAAGTTGATCATCAAATGGGAAGTAGGTTATGTCCATTTTGCAGCTCGCACGAAATATTCCTTAACTCAAAGAAGATAACCTTTTTGGTGATTGTCACTTATAATACAGATTGGGCACATGACAATACTAACCTGGTGGTACCCAGTTCACTTCTCCAGTGCTGTATACAACCTCATTTGACTTGTAAGTGGAATCAAAGTCTTCATTTGCACTGAAATGTCCGATGATTTTTGACAACGTACCGTTGAATTGTCGAAGTTAAAAAAGTTACTTTAATGATTTTGTTTTTCCCTGAGTAAGTTCTCTGTCAGCTGTCCTCTTAGGTAACCAATAAGGTATACAATGACTATTGCACGTCTATTGCACGCATAGATGATTGAACAGAATAAGATAATTGATCTTAATTCTGTATCGGGTGCGAGGAAAAGCTCTTGCACTTAAAGGCACAACCCAGGCAGAGTCGTGTGAACGCTTCCCTTCGGTCTGTAGTATAGACCCCTAGAGGACAATCACAAATGTGGCGTTCCCGTGCACGGAAACCAACCGACAAGAGCGCTTGGGCCTTGCAAAGTAAGCTGCCCAAGCTGCAGATTTTTTTCTCTTCATCTGTTGTCTGGCGCTCTCTCATCTGTAGCGCTCTCTCGCCTCATACTCTCCTCTCCGCGCTTAGTCTCTCATTCCCTTAGCACAGCCGAGTAGAGAGCCTTCAACCTGAGCCTTTTCGACGGATTCTTTTCCTTTTTTCTTCACTGTCGGCCCATTTCGCACCTATACATTCGCATTGTTTGTAAAGCCACACAATGTGATCCTGGGGCATGCCTTTAAAAGGCCACACTCTAGAATCAATAGATGTGCTTCGCACAAGAGGATTGAAACTATTGCGCGGCAACAATGTGGCCGACAGTAAGTAAGGCCACGAGATTGATCATGAGAGATTGGCACCGGGAGGAGGAACGCATAAGCCGAGAAACATGCGGGATGAAAAGATATACTCGACAATAAGAAATAGAAGCAACCGAAGTGCTCTTTGTAAGGCCCTAGCGACTTTGTTGCGCACTTTAGAGCCGGGGCAAGGAAACATGTGCCACCTCCGTCAACGCCTCCTATCATAACCGTCAAAAGGATTCGTCCATATGAACTCATCCTGGGTTGTGCCAAACGAACAACCATCCATTGTACTGTTTTCCAAAACAACCCAATTTTCTGTTTTCTCATCGTTACGTGAATGAAGGTTTCGAGCATCCTACAGTCTGATAAGAAAAACTCATCGTAGGCCTTCACAAAGAATACTAAGTCAATTAACAAAACTTTCAGTCCATGCGGACTCGAACCGCGCATCTCGCTAGCCGGATAAGCTGCCGCTAAGCAAGTAACGTGACGAGGCCCTTTCAGCCCTAAAATCATCGTATATGGCAGCAGTTAAGAAATTTTTTTAAAAAGATATGGTGAGAAAAACAAAGGTGAAACTCCAGTATCTCTTGCCAGAATTAGCTTGCAAATTCGTATGCGCCCCATATGGGCTGCATGAGTCTCCAAAGTGTTAAGCATATCGCAAGGGCAGAAATTCTGTTAAGATTTTGCTGAGTAAAAAATGTAAGTTGAAATGAAACCGCATTAGCGAGTGAAATTGAGATCAAGTGAGCCTCGAAGTCACCCAAATACTTATTTATACCTGTTATAGAGCAGTACATCTGGACGCCAAATCTGATTTTCTCCTCCAGCGAAACGAATGCTTGTTACACCGCCATATCTGGACACATTCCAAGCAAGTCGGTAATCGATCCAAATCTTGAAGCACACGTCAATTCCTGGCACAGAAACGTATAAAAGGTTTTCCAGAAAAATTATCTCAACCCCACAAACTTTAGAGCATGGCGCTTCAATTCGATGATTTGATTTTTACCATCCTGAAAGCACAATAAACATTTTTTCTCTGGAATGTTCATGTAAGGCTGATATTAGTACAGTAATACCAACCAAACCCATGATTTGCTGCAGAAAAACCTTCATCTCGACTCTCAAACTGTCCGTGGGATTTACAACCGGTCGAACGAGTTTGTTGTAAGTGCTGAGGATTTCCCTGAAAAAGAATAAGTCCACATTCTTGTACTCCAAAATACTGCGATATCTTGGGAGATTTAGATATAAATTATGATGACGAGGGTTCACTCTGAGCTCAGCTGAATCTACGCACGCAGGTGGAATCAAGTGGCTAAATTTTCTTGGAAATGGGACGCGTTCGGTTATCCTGGAGGTCTGAAGCCTTGGCTTAGAAGTTGAAGCTCATGTGATGGGCGGATTCTCCGGGAACCCCAATAGATCCGCCCAACACGTGAACCTCACCTTTCAGCTAGTGCTAGTACCAATAACACGGTAGCGGTAAAGAACGGTAAAGGAAGACACACTGTTCCGCCTATAGCACCACTGCAGTGGAAATGCTTGTAATCTAAAGGAGAAGCTCTAGAAACTGAAAAATTCGTCAACTCGCACTACACAATTTAAGATCCATCTTTTTGGAACTCAAGCGACCCTCAAGTAGCCATGGAAAACATTTAAACCACATGCAGAAATTCGACATCGTATTTCATTGTGAAGCATTTTTGCTGTACTAGAAAAAAAAGAACCTGTAGAGACGATTTTCATCTTTACTGGAGGCTGCGTAGTGTACATTTAGGTACAGGAGCGCGTATAGCAGAGCCCAGCGATGCATTTCGATGTAGTTGAGCGTATCATTCATCGAAGCACTTGAGAAATGTTTGTCAAGAGGAGGTGCTTGTATGCATACACCCGCTCATAATGTCGCTTGAGATGAAAGGGATGGAACCGTCGATGCACTGCTACCTATTTGAGTTCTATTCAAAAAAAGTAAAGAAGCTGAAAGTAACGATACAGCAGCTTGCATAACAATAGAATTTCGAACCGGCCTTCTTATAGTCAATTGCAATTGTAAAATTCGCTTCGAGCCATTGACCAAACATGAATGGCTCAGAAGCGAATTTTTGTCTCTGAATGGCATTATGTTGTACCTATATTGAGTGTTGTTATGTTCTGTTTTATTTAATTTTTTTTTTGTTATCTTCCATTAACTGCTATCATGATGGGAGTCAGGATCTCGGCAAAGTTGGCGGACCTACTAAGTTGGTATCCGGAGTTCTTATTCGTGCACCTCTGAGCTTGCAGTGTTGGCGGCGGCCTTCGCCTCTGCGCCATTATCCACTTTTCCGCCCCCCACCACCCCACAGCTAACTTTTATTGTGTAAGTATTTTTTATCAAATATCGGAGATCCTGCTTTTTACTTGAGTTGTCATGTATTTAATTAGAATTCGCGATAAAAATCATAATCATTAAAGACATCCCCAGGATCATTTACGGTTGTGGTCTTGCTCGTGAAGCGAAGGCGCTATTGCAGTGCGAAATGTCCGGCAGTAAAAGAAAAAGAAAGCGAATAAGAATTCGTCAAACAACGCCTAGTTAGGCACACTACGAGTCTTCTAAACGGGCTGTGCTAAAGGAATGAGAGACTACAAACAGAGTGGAGAGTATGAAGCGAGGGAGCGTTACGGATGAGAGAGCGCCAGGCAACAGCATGATAAGAGAAGAAAAAATCTGCAGCTTCAGCGGCTTATTTTGCAAGGCCCAAGCGCTTGTGTAGGTTGGCTTCCGCTGCCAACTGTACTCCATATTGTGATTGTCCTTAGGTTCTATGCCTACAGACGAAGGAAGCGTTCCACCACAAACTCTGCCGAAATTGGTTGCCGTTAAATCATTAAATTGATATCAATATAATCACTTTTTGGGCAAAACCTCGTCGTCGCCTGACGTGATCAAAATTCTTACAGTTTTTGCAGCACTGCCGACCACCATTCAACCTTGCTTGGCAGTGCTTGCTTGACCTGGTATGGAAATCTCTTATTGTTAGGGATAAGGTGATTGCACGACTTCAGAGATACCATCACAGCACTTGACCTTGCAAAGGAGTGCAATGGACCCATGTGACAGGGTTAGTCATCCGCTTGAGACAGAGGAGCCTTGTGATTTTTGACATGGGGTAATCGTATTTTAGGGTTTCAAAAGAGCATAATGGTGGGTGTTGAAAGTGTCTTGTTTGTACGAAGGAGGAATAAGGAGGGGGACGCTGATTCGACTAGTCCCGGAAGAGATAAAAATGATACAATTTGTTCTTCTAAGAGCCTCGTATCCAGTCCTCTCTCCTAAATGGTGATGAAATTGGCACGGCGGCACATCTACCTGGTTGTGGAGGGGGTCCTGTGTAGTAATGACGAGGGGAAGGGATGCAAAAAATCTCGAAATCGTGACAACGACCCTGTGCGAACACACACCGTACCCTAATCATTATGGTTGTGTTTTTGTGGATGTCCGTTATCTGCGCGCAAAATCAATATTCATTCTACAAATACAATGGCCCAGGGCAGGGTTTGAACCCAAACCTCTGCACTATTGACGATGCAACAAGCAAGATTTCCGCTCTTAGAAAGGAATTCTGGCTAGTATTGAACGTTGCAGGCTCGACCGATGTTCCCCAAGTTTCAGACCGACAAAGAGTTTTAATCTGTACACCAGAAGTTCGCCAGGATTCCAAAGCAGTAATGTGAACGAGTTGTTACAGTCGAAATCGATGTCCACGACTTTTTTCAGGCCAAGAACAAAAACCGGGTTCAAACAGAGCATTCTCCTCAGAGTGCTGCAAGAGGTTCTCTGGAAATATGGAAATTTTTGATTGTAGCAGATACCAACGATAAAGAATCCATGAGATGAGATTACTATCAGGATTGTTTTGGTAATTCGGGCCGCTATAAATACACATAAACAGTTTTCACTTTTATTCACATTCATCGTTAGTTGGTTCTGAGGCGGTTTATGACAGGGAGGTACGTCAGTCACTGTTTTCCTACACTAGGCTCGAAGGTCGTCCAGCGCTTAGAAAGATAGTCATGAAATTTTGAGCATAAAAGGTGAACATCATAGGAGGTGGGGTCATCACGAAGAAAATAACAGTGAAGTTTGAAGGGAGCGATTACGATAAAGGGGAAGGGCGTCGAGGAATTGTGTGGGCCACACGAAGCAATAGCTTAGCTGCCAAGGGCGAGCGCACAAGGAGAGCTGTGCGCTTCCACACGGAAGTGCCACTGGTTGCGAGCAACTCTTGAACCCTCGCCCAAAGCGCCTCACTGCTGGTTTCAGTTTTGTGAGATTATTTGGTTTCTAACAAATCGGTTATTGGAGCCATTCAGAGTTAGGGCTGCGTGATCGTACATAGGACTAGGTGATGGGGCAGGAGGCGGCGGCAAGACTGCAACTTGCATTGTTCCGTTCGGCAGATTGGGAACGGATCTTTCCCTTCTATATCGCCTTCGTCGCCTAATGCCCACTCCGGATCGCTGTCTTTCATTTTGACCCATCCCTAATCGCCCGCGACGATCGCCAAACTATGAACGCTCATCGGCTCTCGGAGACTTGATTCAATGTTTTGAAATGGAATATAAATTCTAACGGTTATGTACAGTCGATATCCGAAAGTTGGGGGTAGGCGTGTCACCGGAAGTGACGTGCACTTGATAGAAGTTGCGTGGATAAGCTGTTGCCAGCATGCTTTGCTGATATCCAGCGATGTATGTTGGAAGCAGCTTATCCACATAGCTTCTATCAAGTGCACGTCACTTCCGGTGACACGCCTACCCCAACTCTCGGATATCGAGTATAAACTTATTCAGATTTCATCTCGCACAGTCACGAGTTGTGCAATTGCTACTATTGGGTTGCCCATAATCTCTTGTCCGGATTTGCGGCGCTTCTCATCGAGTTTTATCTTTCTCTAAAATTAATTGATCGAAAAATATAACCATGACATAAGTCACCGATATGCATCCATTCACCAGGGAAACTTTGGATGCTTTCCTCCTAGAATGGGTGAAGCTATGAGCTGAAGAATTCAGCAAGGTCGTTTTTGGAGTGGTTGTATTTAGTGACTTTTTTCTCTCGCCGCTGCTGCCTCAAGGCACTGTGAAGGGATAGCCCGATGGAGTGATGCCAGGGCTATACGATGGACATGGTATCGTGGTCCAGCCAGTTTCCCTCAGAACGTAGCGAGTTATCTTTGCAATGTGAGGTCGGGCGTTCGGAGAAAGGGGATTTTGAGACGTTCAGGACGGTTTCTCCCACTACATACTGCGGCCAACCTCGGGAGCTGTTCCACGATGGCAGTGCTGCGTGTTGTTCTAGTAGTGAACTCATGATTCATCCCCACTAGTGATCAATAGGGAACGCTCTGCTATTGAGGTCACAGAATGAAATTCCCCCAGAGGGTCAGACCAGCTTCTCGGTCATGGCTGGTCGGTGCATGGTTTCTATCAAGTCTTCATTCTGCTGCTGCCCACTCCATCCTGATGGCGTGTGCTGGTGCATCGGCTGCGCCCAGGTGTCTGCTACAATACCCTGGTAGTAGCGTCCGTGTGCACTTCCAATCCGTGGCGCAAGGGGTCCTCATCGAAAGTGAGTGGAGGCCCAGGATGAGGTTGATTTCACAGCTCGTATTGTCTTTGCCATTGCGACCGAACCACTAGCTCAGTGACCGATCAGTAGCAGAGACTGAGCCAAACACAGCGCTGATCTTCTCTAGTGTCCTCCTTGCAACAGCGTCTATTTGAGGATCATAAAGCATAATCGTTCGTTATTGTCATTGATCTATTTCGACTTCTACTCAGTTATTCCGATGCGGGTTTGACCTTCCAAAATGTCCTGGCTAACGGTCTAGATGCACTCTTTGACATACCAACATATTTCGCAATGACACTAATTCGACTTGAAGAAATTTGAATTTGATCAAAAATCGGACAGGAATTATGTACCGAAACCTTGTGAACACTCATCCTCTCCACCAGGTGTTGTCGGCACAGGTGGAAGGGAGCGCAGTGGAAGGTGTAAAGCTCACGCAGAGAAGGATGGCGTTATTGTATTATGAGCGATTATTTTGGTGAAATTATGCAGGTCATCCAGGGAATCAGTTTCGAGGAACTCACCAGTAGTCGGGTTACAGTAGTGGGGTCGTGTAGAAATGTTGGGCATTGCATTGTGTTGAAGGCGCTACAAGTTGCGCATCTTTCAGGTGACTTGCAGATGATGTAGATATGGTATCAGATCCCTAGTTCCTTCCAAATGTCAAGTGCTTGTTTCTGTGTAGCTCACCTCTGCTGAAATTGAGCTGCTTTCATGGAGCAGACTGCGCGCTAACTCATTGCAGATTGTCGCGCTGCGGCTGAAGGAGAATGCGGCTTTGATGAGATCATCTAAAAAACAATTGACCCCCCCCCCATTCCTAACCCGCCGGGGGCTTGCCCAGAACGGGACGTCAGTTGGCGCCATCATCAACGCAGGCACAGACCTTTCGAGCCGTCATGAGTCACAGCCGACACACGCCACATGACTTACCAGCAAAATTTCGACTGCTTCCCATTGTGTGGCGAGGTGTCAAGCTCGCTGGCGGTGCTCGGTTCTTGAAACAATAGGTCAACCGGGCTTACCGTGAATCAGCCGTCAAGCTACAGAGGAAGAAAGCATGCTTATGGTTAATTTTTCCCATCCGCTGCAAACCCACACTGTTCCAGATTGCTCACTTTCACTATATGGTGTTAAAGTTATCAGGGTCCAGAGT